TATATATATATATATATATATATATATATATATATATATATATTTAGACTATAAACCTATCATTATTTTTTAATATATTTTATGTTATTGTGTTGCATATGAAAATATTCAATCCCATCAACTGGTTTGATTCATCGTTGCTCTAAAATAATTAAGGTCTTAAGTTTAAATTTTTCGAATGATAAAAAGAGGAGAATAAAATAAGTTTTATATCCCTAACAAAATGTTCTCCTTACATATATTTAGACATGTGACCTTATTAATTTCATGGCGCACCAACTCGCAAATGGATGTAGGTGGAATGGTTATATATATGACAATGATGATGAAGCTTTCATCCAATCACCTCTCATGAACATATCACTATATTTGCAGACATTCAGCGGTTTTAATTTGTTCACAAATCACAAGCACGCAAAGACAGCTTAACCATACTCAAATAATGTTTATTAAACTTCATTTAAATCCCTTTTTGCTTCGTGGTGTTAGCTAGTTTGTACTTTGCAGTGTGATATACTCCAAATCATAGGTAACTAATTAATATAATTAAAGAATATAAAATAAAATATAAAAAAATGCTTGAAGATTCAGCAATATTAGGAAGTTACCTGGCACAGAAAAACCCACGTCACACGTAGGAAAGGGTTGAGTAAGAATGCGCTGTCATGGGTGGTGGAATGGGACCAAACATTGGTTGCAATGGAAACCCACATAAGTGTGTTAGCTGTAGTTGGCAGCATTTGAAATGGGCAATGGTAGATCCAAAATCATCATTTCTGAAAAAAAAGAAGATTATTGTCACCTTTTTAAGGTTTTGTTGGAGGACTTTCCATGGATCTCATCACTCATCTCTCTCAATTAACAATCATCGCATGTGCTAATGTGCCAATCTACTTCCATTTTTCGGTTATCACTATAATTTGCCAACTTTCACAAAACCATTTGCTTTTCTTGTCACATCTATATAATCCTTCATCGCCCTTATTTTCATATCAAAATAAATAAACATAATTATATTTCGTGTGCACCAAGAATATTCCCCACTCAGATACTCAAATATTGATTCTTTTTATATATCAAAATTGTTAAAGTGACCAAATCAAACCTTTGTAAAATCAGTTATTTAGCAACTGTGTTCCGAATTGAAGCTTTATAGATCTCACCGACATTTGTGTAGTAAACACTTGAGCCCCACATCTGTGTAACATTTTTATTATGGTACTTGTGAGTATTAATTTAAGAAAAATGTTAAGCAAGACAATTTTAATATATTTTTGTTATTAATTTAAACAAAATAATTTTTTTTGAAAATAAGTGAGTAACGAGACATGACAGAGAAGAAAGATGTACTATATAAGGAGATGATGGTGATTGTACTTAAATACCTACATTTACACCGACATCGTGAACTATATAATCGATAGATGTTTATATTTGGAACAAAACTTACATTTAATATCATAACTATAGTTAGTATTATTTTCAAATCAAAATAAATTTTTTAAATAATGTATGTAATCTTATTTAATTAAGTATATATATTGTAAATAAAATTGTAATTTTAATTAAAAATATTAACAATACTTATAATAGTATGTTTAAGCTTTGCACTTGTATGTTGTTTAAGTATATGATGAAGGATTGGATTTGTTTATATGAAAAACATTTATTATACTGATTCAGTTCTTTAAATAGATGTTGAAATTTGAGAAATTAGTCTCTGTTTGACCGTCAAAGAATCCAAAACAAAAAGATAAAATAAAAAGAAGCTACATATTTACCTTTTAGCTGCTCATGATGGTGAATGAAATCGCAATTTTTGTTGGGCTCGCAGTTTTGGAATTCGTTAGGGTCAAGCTGAGACTGCAAAAGGTTATGTTGACCCAAGGGATGGGAGACAAAGTCAATGTTTAACATGTGGATAGAAGTAGAACAGAACCAAATCGAGTCTTCTATTCTATTCTTTTTTTATTTATTTTTTATTTTACTTTCACCCTTTAATCTAAATATAATGTCTTTTCTTTTCAAACTTTGTTTCTTTAGATACTTCTATTCTACTTTGTTTTTCTTACTCTAACCTTTTTCATATATAGAATCAAAATATAATGCTCCTTTTTTTAAAGTTTATTTCTTCTTAAAAAAAAAAATCACCAAACACAAGGGTTAACACATAATAAAATCCTTAAAATGAGCCATTTATATTATTCTGTTCTTTAAAACAAATAAATTATTTTTCAAGGTATAAAATTGTTTCTAAATTGACAATTTGGAAATGTAACTTTGTTTATCAATTATAAATTATGCTTTCAAGGACTGATGCCTGATATACACATTTTAAGAATTAAATAACACGAATTACACTTTCAAATCAAATTATATATTAACTATTCAATATAAAATTACAAAACTCACATGATATCTTTGACTCCTTATACAATGTTTACCACGTACACACCACGTCGGTTACAGAGAATCTTCTTATATGCAACACTAACTTAAATAACTAAAAAACCTACTTAACTTCTATCGTTGAAAAAAAACCCTTTTTTAATATATTTTTTTACTATTTGTTCTTTATGCATACAATTGTTACCAAACTAATTCTCATTACTATACATTAATCATTAACTCTGTATTCTTAAATTAGTAGTTGTTATAAATATATAATTTCTTAATTTGATTATTGTGAATTTAGCATATTTTTAATTTAGTCTCTACTTATAAAAATTAAATTAAGCATACACTATATAGGATCAAATTAATAATACATAAGATATTTAGTGATACAAGAAACTTTATCAATAATATTTATATGTATGAAAAATGATTGAATATTTTTTTATATTATAAAGATCAAATTGAAAATTTACTATACGCATAGAATTACATGATTAACCTTTATTGTTAGGAAATGTTTACAAAAGTTAAAGAAATATCAATTTTGAGTTAATTGTCATTTTATTTTGTATTTGACTTGTGATTATTTTGAGTTTATCTTTTTCTAAACAACAAAAGTAACGTAATCTTATTTAATTCGTTAGATTGTAAGACTAGGTCACAAAATTACAAGTGATTTTTTATTTTTTATTTTATGTTTTAATTTTAAAACAACAAAAAAATAAGATTTTTTTAAATAAAAACAGTAATTAAAAAAATGAACTATGTAATTAGAGTAAAATAGATATATACTAAAAGCGTAAACTTTTTACATTATCAACTAATTAAAAAATCTATTATCGAAGTTAATATAAAACAATTTTTATATAGATGATGTTGTGAAAAACATTTGTATACCCTTTTAATTTTTATCGTGTATTTATTATTTAATTTATAAAACATTAACTTTATATATGTTTGCTTGTAAATGTTTTTTTTGTTCTTTTTTGCTTAAAAGTATAAATCTTCACGCTATTGATTAAGTTCTCCCCTTCACCTATTGTTCATTATCTCATTATGTTTAATTATTGCATTATTTTTCAGTATTGGAATATATAGCATTACTTTTCCTCAAAAGTTATTAAGAGAAAGTCAAAATTTTCAATCAAAACGATATTTGAATTTAAAAATTCGTATAAACTATTAAAATTTCAGCAAGAGAGCCGGGTAAAAGAGTGAGTCATATATACCCCTATAATTATAATATGTTGGTCATTTTCCGAAAACAACATTTCCATTTATTTAAAAAAGGAAAGAACGGGATTAATCTAGAAAGGGTATCTAGGGGATTGTCATTTCATTTGCACGATAAAGTTAATCAGATTAATTCCACCACATAATAATTATAATTAAGAATTTGCTATAACACACTTTATCCTCACATTTGGTATTTGATAGCTTCGTTAATGATATGTTAATATATATTCAAATACTTTTTATTAGAAATAATAGATATTCCACGCGTTACAATCCTTGGGAACTTGCGAGAGATGAGAATTAAAATTGACAGCACCAACTTGATGGTCAAATCAAAATAAAATATCTAACTAGTGCCTAGTGCGAAAACCATTTAAAATATGATGCGTATTAATTAATAAACAAAGAAATACTTCCACGCAAGTTTATGATATCTTATTATATTCTTAGAAATAAAAGCCGTGGGAACACAAGATGCACATCGCATCGTTGTAACAAATTTCATACAAGATTATTATTCTTATTTTATGGAAGAAAAAGTAAACAACGTTGGTGAATCTTGTCTTAAGTTGGAGAGTTTGGGAATTTATTATTTTGTAGGATGAACACAACATATAATAAATACATGCTGGCACTTTGTTTGTTTAGGTACAGAACGAAGTTTGGGATAAGATGGGGTTTTCAGATAACCCACCACACAGTTTGCGTCCGAAAACTGCTTCTTTTAAAGTTTGAATAGATAAAAGAATTTATTACGCGGATTAATAGTAATTATATATTATTTATTTATGGGTCAGCATGTTGCAAATTGAGTGGCCAATGAAGATTTAGAAGAGTGTGGACGTGGTTTGTAAGTTGTGAGGTGATAGAATGGAATGGACATGAAGGGCTTTCAGTTTTTATGGGCTTATAACCCTTATGCTCTTATCCTCTCAGAATCATTCAATTCATGTCAGTTACTCCTTTGTTTCTATCAAATTCAAATTTAGGTGACAAATGGGTCCATTCAATCTAATTGGATTAGGTAATTGAGATTACTATAAGGTAAATATAAATAATGCAGATAAAATTAAATAACAATGCCTAACTAATCAAAGATGATTCAAGAACAGTACTCTCATTATTGTAGTCAAAGTTAGACAAACAAAAAAGAAGGCTGACTTGTTCATGCACAAGTTTTACACAACTCCCTTTTTATTTACAATTCGTGTGAGAAATGGTAACAATCTTCGATTAAAACATTGCGTAATTGTAGTACTAAATTTAAACGTGTGGAAGACTCAAGGCTCATATATGGAAAGAAATTATTTTTCCACGCCTCCTTGTTTAAAGATAAACCCAATGAATTATGCAGCTTGATTATTATATTGACTAGTGCTAGAATATTACTGTTCAAAAAATTGTTGCATTGTCATGTCCTCTATCATTTGTATAAAATCCATACATAGTTAAGATCATAAACACTTGAATGCTGATTTTGTTGTACAGTGTCACATTCGCAGCGAAATTTCCTTCCAATTGTGATGATCATCGTGGATAATTGGATATTCTCTTTTGCACCTTTTGGATCTTTCCTTTTGACCCCACCCCAACACCTAGTGCACACCATATTTTGGATGACGACTCCATTGTTGTAAGGATGTTGAGTTCTAGGGCTTACCTATATGTTGTTACTTCTTTGATTAACTTTAACTTTGATTATCATTATTATTAATGGTATGACTATATTTTGTTCCCTTTTCATTATGTATCCGGAAATGAATAAACAAATTGAAACCCTCCCACAACTTTTTATTTTCATTCTTTGAATCTTAACACTACAAAGCTCAGAAGCTTAGGGTTGTATTTTTCAATGAAGATCTGGGCCATCTCCGTTGTGAGAAATGAAAACTTTTTTTACCTTCTTGTTTTTGGTTAATTAGGTAGAAAAGGACAAAAATTGATTGGAAAGATAACAGTGGGCTATTTAATAGAAGTGAAAACCTTGTTTTTTTTACAAAAAATTCACACCATGTATTTTTTTAGCCATAGAACCATTTTTTTCGCATCAATGTTGGGCTTAAGCACCTTCTGTCAGCCCAATTTAATTTGCTAGTTATTTTATCTTTGTTAGAAGGCAGATGATAAACACACCTCCACTCTCATATAAACACACCTCTTTTTTAAAAAAATATATATAAAATATCTAAATTACCCTTAAAAAAAATTCTTAAACTTACACCTCTCTTCCCCGTACCCCATTTCCTGCACCCCCCTTCCCCGCACCTCCACACCCCACACCCCACACCCCCTTCCACTTTTGTTTATGACGAGGAGGTTGCTCTCAGTGCACACCGTAGTGAAAGGAGAAATGGAGCAGGGAAAAGAGCCAGCAACCACCATTGTTTTGCGTGAAAAAGTTTACAAGGATTTGGCATCCAAGGTAGCCTTTGAAGGGTCAATATCCCAAAATATCCTCATCATTTTCTCTGGAACTCCCTTGGTACCCTTTGTCCCATTCCTTTAAAACTGAAGCAAAACCATGGCTGGCTGACTCAACTCTTACATATATCTCCATCCAGTGTCTCTTTCTATTTGTTGGATTGTGGTAGAATAGTACAAACATACCTATCTTGTTCATTAATCATTAGAAACTGACAAACTTAATTGGAAAAATTGCTGGTTAATTTTCGTTGATTTTGCTTGTCTAGAAGTATGTATTGTCTAGAGGTGTGTATTGTATTTTTGGTAGCCATATCAGTACACTCTTGAATCATGATTTCAAAAGTTGGGATAAAGCTACAAAGATTCCAAAGTGATAAGCATCATAAGCTGTCCTTTTACATTTTGTGGGAAGAAATATGTCCATATTTCAAACAATTTGCCAGTTCCGTTTACTGATTTAGATGTAATTGAAGCAGTGCATGGAAGACATTTTTGATCACAAGTGGAAGGGGGTGTGGGGTGTGGGGGTGCGAGGAAGGGGGGTGGGGGAACGGGGGTGCGGGAATAGGGGTACGGGAAAGAGAGGTGTAAGTTTAAGAATTTTTTTTTAAGGGTAATTTAGACATTTTATATATTTTTTTTAAAAAAGGGGGTGTGTTTATACGAGAGTGGAGGTGTGTTTATCATCTGCCTTGTTAGAATCGCCACCATTGACAAGCCCAACATGCATGAAAGTTATTTTCCAACTACATCCTGCATTTATACGCTATAAGTAAAGAGATATTCATTTTCATTGCAATTAAAAAGAAAATTTTGGCCAAGAATTTTTATTTATTTCACTTATTTTATATATTATTCTCACATGTTAATGTTTTAATATATTTTTTAAAATACTCAAATCTTCTTAATTTTATATTCTGACAAGAAAATAACAAAGGAAATAAAGTGTAAAGGTAGGTCTATTTTTTTAATAAAGATATCTAAGTATAATCAACAATTCAACATTAATCATAAATTTAAGAAAGATCAGTATAATTATCTGCATTGCATAAAATGTTTCATTGATGTACATGTAAAGTTGGTAGAATAAGTTTGATATGTTTTATATTGACTTGTGTTGATTCACTGTTTTTACCAAGTTACTGAATAACCTGCAGGCTAAGAGAAAGATGGGTTGAAGCTTGAAGATTGAGCCTTTTCTTATTTTTTAAAACTTCAACTTAAACTCAAATATTTTTTTAATTCTTATTACTTATTAAATTCACTTTTTTTTTTATTATTGTTACTTTCTCTATCTATTTGTTATTTTTGTTACCTTATGTTGTCTTATAACGAAGATTGAGAAATGTCTAATTATACTTAACGTTAAATCAGCGGAATTGAAGTATCTATTTGTATTTCTAGAAAAATGAGGGTTTAAAATGCGTTGCAAAATTTTTGATTTTATTTAACATTAAAAAAATCATTATAATGAAGAAAGAAAAAAAAACTGTCTCGTTAGTCGTTACCTAAATAAATGTATATTTTATTTCATGTTTTCTTATGGAATAAAACTTTAACCGAAAAAAAATATGAAAGCTTTTATTCGATTAATGTGGAGATAACTGTTAGCAGCAATACATATTTTTTTAGTACTCTCTTATTAATACATTAATTATTTTGCTTGAATTTTATTTAAAATTGTAAAATTATGTGTATTAATTATACCTTTATTTTTATTGTATTTTAAATAATTATGTTGTTAGCGTGAAGTATTTACTAATTTTGGTGATAATTAGTCTTTTATTTAATTTAATAAGTTTAATAAATTTTACAGGTTTAATGAATTTAAAAAAATTTAATTAACAATAAAGTATGTTTCTTATGTGAAAAATACTGATAATATTCTTTTATTAATATTTTTTTTACTATTGATTAAAAATTGTAAATTTTTTGATGAGTTGTATCAATAAATTATGAGATACTCATCAAAAAGAGATGCGAGACTTATAAAATTTGTAATTTTTAATTAATTTTAATTAATAATAAAAAAAGTTAGAAAAAACATTACTAACAATGTTGGTTGACCTTTAATCTAAAAAAATGTCAAGTTGCTTCAAAAACTATGGTGGTAAGATCAACACACATAGGGATGACAATGGAACGAGCAAATAAGAATTTTAATATTCTTGTTTCTATCTTTAAGCTTGTATTCTATGCTTATCTCGATCTTTGACACTCAATGAGTATGAGATTTATGTCATATTACTATCTTTGTTAAGTATTAGATATATCTGTTCATGTCTCATATTTGTCTATAAATTAATTACTTTTTATGTAAAAAGAAATTACAACACATAGTAGTTATTATAAAATTACATTTATTAAGTTTCGTTTGACATAAATTCAAAATAAAATAAAAATTATATAAATCTAAAATAAGTATAAATCTAAAAATCTAAATAAAGGAATTTTACAAATTCAAGGAATTTTAAATTCTTGGTATTTGAATTACTTTGATTTCAATTTCTATCATTCTTAAAATATTTTGTTTGGATAAGTCAATTCAAATTTCTCAAATTTTAAATTGTTAGGTTGAATATGATAATTTGATTCAACCATGATAAAATTGATTTTAAAAATATATTTATATGTTGAGATTTTTGAATTAAATTTTATAAAAATAAATATTAGCTAATCTTTAAATATTTAATAATTTTAAAATTTAATATTAGATAATATTTAATATTTTTTAAAATATTTTTGAATATTCAATAATTAAAACATGAAAAGATAAGAGATAAGATAAAATATATAAGTGAAATAAGAAGAAAAAAATATGAGAAATTTCAAATTTTTACCCTTTTGGGAGAATTTGAAATTCTACTATTTCAAGAAATTTCACAAATGCTTGAATTTCAAATTCCTTATAAATTCATCATCCAAACAAGGTATTTCACTTTAAAGAATTTGAAATTCTTCAAATAAGTGAATTAATCCATTAAAATTCCCCATCCAAACATACTATAAGACTATTTTAAAAATTTAAAATTAGAATGAGGACGAGGACGAGTATAAGACAAGTAAATATATACACATTCATGTTTCTTTTTCAAATTTAATAAATTAAGTAATATCTATATCTATATTTATATGGTCAAATTGAATATCCTTTACCAAAATTGATACGAGTTAAAACATTATCCAAAAAAATACGAGTTTATTTATCATTTTTAATACAACATTCATAAAGTTTTTGTCATACTCATGGGCCATACTAACGATGAAGACAAAAGAAGGCAGCAGGCCAGCATATTGTCCAATATAAGCCTCCTTCGGTCCTAAAACAATTTGTGGGATTAGTTATAAACAAATTTGAATTCGTTCTTTGATTCTTTTGCAACTTGGGTAATTATACTATAGTGAAAGTTATCATTTAAAAAATGAGATAATAAAAACAAATTTTACGTATTTATAAGAAAAAAATGTTTAATCCTAAAATTAGTGTCATTCTCGTCTCTCCTATTTCTTTCATTATCTTGACATCATCCCACTTTAGGTATGCAAATTAGGATTCAAGATGGTATTAGATAACTTTAATATGATTAATGCCTAATAGATATGTAAAGGAAGTATATCACAATGGTGCTTCCATAGATTGTTTCGTTTATGATATAATATTGTGATTCTAATGGTGGTTTGTGGTGGTTAATGACCTGTAAAGTAATGTTAACATGAATGAATGATTAAAGTAGAGAAAATACGTTTATTTTTATTTTATTGTATTTTTGGCTAAAGACTTGAATCAAAATGTATGCAAAAGAAAAAAAAAAGTTTGCGAATTCTAAGAAGATGGGATGAGTATTTATTTATTTTTTCATTCCAATTAATTATCTCCCAAATTTGTTGTTTTAATCAATGTTATATAAATACAACAAAACACTCTAGTGTTACTTGTTGCTTTACAAAAGATTCCATATCAAAACCCTAGGATATTAGGTCACATGTGATTTCAAAGTTCAAGCATTTTTAGGACCTTGATAACTTATGTATTTTAAAATTGACGATACACTTCTCCCTCCTTACTTTGACTATCTTCTCTTTCATTTCTCGTACTAATAAAATAGTCTAAAACTAGTCCATACACATGCATATGCATACTCCATAAAAATCTCTTTTTGACCATTCATTCTTTTACCCCACAAAATTCTTTTCCTTTGCTTTATGACCGTACAACTATATAAGCAATTCACAAACTTTAAAACCTCCATTTTGGGGATCTTTTTAAACCATCAATTGATCCCTCGTTTTTTTTTTTTTTTACTATTTTTTCAAGGTTAATTATTCTGGAAAAACAAAAACAATTTTCTGAGTATATATGTAAAACTCAAAGGGATCATCGATTCGTATTCGTGTTCTCCTTCCATAGGTATGTTTTCTTTCTTTCGCCCCTACTTTTCTCTCTCTCTGTCTTTTCTGTTTTCTCTCTTGTTTTTTGTTTTAAAATGTTGTTAAGCATAATATTGTAATTTAATGTATTGAGGAATTGTATTCTGAAAATCATTTTTTTTTCTTTTCTTTTTGTTTTGTTTGAGTTACTTCAAAAGGTTCCATTGATGAGCACCTGAGAAAATATGAGGTTTCTACCAACCTATTTTTTAAGTGGGATTCTATTTTTATTATCACTTATTTATCTTGTTGTCTTTTAACAAGAGATAATCAAGGAGTGCAATTGGCTTGCACAATCCTTTTCTCCCAATTTCAAAGGGTTTTAGTGGGGAAAGGTCTAGTCTTACAAGGTTTGATATATAATTGGTTAAAAAATTGTTGATGTCCTGCATTTTTTATTCTGTTGGGTAAAATGTTGCAAAAAAATTACTAGATTAGCTACTTTAGATTTCAGTTTTCATTTTCCCTTTTAGATGTTTTTTTTTTCCAACTGATCAGCATATTTTTTGAAATTAAAAGAAGATATAGATTTTCACGATATAATGAAAATATTATTTAATAAGTAATATATAAGATTATTAGTATTAAAAAAAGGAATGAAGCAATGTAGAACTAATCTGGACTTAAACATTTTTTTTTTCAAATTAAAGATACTTTATGAATCTTAAAAAAAAAAAAAAAAAGAGATAAATGAGTTTATATTATTTATTTTCTCTCCCCATTGTTTATTTTTTGAACAATGCTTAATTCGTTATACTTTTTCCATGTACACTCTCTTAAGAAATTATTTATCTTATACTCTTTAAACCATGGTCAATTTTTTTATATATTAACATAATGCATCTCATAATAGTTTAGTTTTTTATAGCTCTTGATCACATTGCATATTTTATTACTATATATATGCTTTTCTATGGATAGATTAGGGTTAAGAATTAAATAATATTGTGGTGCAAATGAATCAAAATATCTATTATAAAAGTGAAGTTACAATTTTTGTATTTAAAATATGAAAAGTCAAGCTGTTATTTTACATGTTACGATATTGATAATCATTAGAGTTAGTCTAATAATTAGATGAAGAGAGATTGTCGTAGTTAAAAATATAGAGATATATGTTCAATTTTCATTACGATCATCTTTTGTAATTTTTTATATTTTTACAAAAAAAAATGCTACTGAAATAAGGGTGGGGCGTGTTTAGTTTGGTCCTTTTCTGTTTTTATTTTCAATAAAAATAAAAATTAGAAGTGAAAATACTTTTAACATTCAGAAAATGTTTTGTGAGAAAACATTTTTAAAATGAAGCTCGTTTTTTAAAACGTCAATAAGTTATTTTCGATGTTTTCCTCGATGTAATTAAGTTATTAAGAATGTGACCAATGGATTAAGGATATTGGTTTTATTGGGAATATAAAAGAAATAAGAAATTGAGTCCTTTATATGTTTTCCTTCTTTGATTTGTTTTTAGTTTGCACTCCTTAACATGAAGCAACAACGTCAGTAACGAATGTTATTTGTTTTAATTAATATTACAGAAGTAGTTTGATGCATTTTCCAGCATGGAGCTATTGTCAAATGAGGTAAGTTTCTCTCCCAATATAAATTACTATTTTACTTTCATCATTCATATTCATTTTCTCGTATATCATTCATGGGAAGATCACATAGGTGTATTTTTAATCATTTAGAAATAGTACGAAAGAAATTCACAAACACCTATCGTTATCGACACTCCCTCTAATATTATTTTATTATTGATTAAACTTTATTAATTAGAAGGAATAAATTTTGCAAATTTCAATTATAACTTATAATTTTATTAGATTTGAATCAAAACTTAAAAAACTTATTAGAGGAAGTTTGTTAGAGAACATGTTGCCATAAGATTAATTTTATATTATGTCTTATTTCTTCTTCTTTTTTTTCCCAAAAGCTTTTACATTCAGATGATCACCGTGGAGCACTCCATTTGCCACCTGTATTGGATATAACAGATAGATCCATGAAACAACTAAATACTCATCCAATTACGACAAATAATCATCAAAATCTTAGTCGTTCAATATTTTTGAAACGATCACGACATTGTTACGGCCACCAATATTCTCGACGTAACTCTGCCAATCATGCAAATGCATCATCATCTCGTGGAAAAGGTATTTCTTCACATGATGTTGGACTTTGTTTCAAGTTGGTTTCTCAACCCAATTCATAATTTTGACAACATGCAAGTGTGTCTTTAATGCTTAATCATGTGATGGACACATTAATTTTGAAATTGTTATAGGAATGTTGAAGTTAATTTAAATCCTTAATAGTTTGGTGAAGAATTTCGATAGAAAACAAATACTTTCATTGTGTGAAGTCAATGTCTCTTTAGGATGCTTATGTATATCTCAGTAACATTGGGTTTTAGAAAATGTTGTATATTTTGTTTTCAGAACCTAATTGCCAATGATTTAAATTATACTTTTTTATTTTCCAATTTATTAAATTTAGTTTTCTGTTATTAAAAAGTCTGATTTTACCTCTTATTTTTCTAAAATGATGCAATGTGATTTTTTCTATCTAATTGAAACTAATGATGTTAGATTTTTATACACATAATAATACATGTCATTTTTTATTGTACTACATGCATAAAAAATTAATGTCATTATTCTTAATTATACAAAAATTATTACATTTTATTATTTAAAAAAAATAAGAGATCAATTAAATATTTTAATATATAAGAGTCAAAATAAATAAAAATAAAATAAAATAACCAAAAGAGTAATTCAACCTTTTATCTTTTCACTTGAAAAAATTTGATTATTCAAACTATTCTCATAAACTACAACATTTTTCTTTTCCAGAATATAAAGAGAAAGTGTTTTGTAAACCAGAGAGAATCCGATCAAGCTCCTTAGGGATGGATGCAATATCACTAGATAAAAGAGAAATGGTTTGTGGGATTTGTGAGAAACTACTGAATCGAAAAATTAATTTTATGGGGAGTTCAATGTCTTGCTGTGAGCTTTCAGTTGTGGCAGTTTTAGTATGTGGTCATGTTTATCATGCAAATTGTTTGGAGAAGAGAACTAAATTTGAAGAACTGCGCGATCCACCATGCCCTGTGTGTTCGAGTTTACTCGCGCATGGCCATGACAATAATTGACAACAATTGTTCCCAAGAAGATCATATGAATGTCACAAATTTTGATCTTGATCATAGTTTTGTGGAAGAAAACAAAAGGAAAGATATATATGTCATTTTGTTGCAATTGAATTGTAAGAGCTAGGTTAAAGATCTTGTAAATTGACATGATTTCTGAATTATCCACAGGGTTTGTGGATTAAGAATAATTTGTAATTTATTTTAATACTTTTTTAAGTTTCACAAGGTTATTATAGTATTTGAGAACTTAATTATTTGGCTATTTTAATTTAGCAACAATTTAGAAACTATAGAAATTGCAAATATTGTCAGCTACTTCGTCCAAGCATTTTCTGCTTGTGTAAATTTGATCTATTTAATAAAAAATATTAATATAATATATAAATCGTTAAAATCCTATGTAAATTATAAACTGTTAAGTAAAGTCAGTTTCTATTTGAATGTATAATGTCACTTTCCATAGTAAAGTGAACTTGTTTGGTTGCATAAAGCAATTGGCCAATTACAGGCTGGAAGGCCGACAGGGTCACTTGGCCAGCAAAGGCCCAAACAATAGTTAGTTCACAATAGATACCCTCTCCGAGTATACACTTGTGATGTAGAAAATAAAAGAAAAAATTGTTAAGTGATGCGATAAATAATTTAAAAAATAAAGTAAATATATAAATTTAAGTATGAATACTAAAATTAGTGCATAGTTTAACTCAAAAAAGTAGAAATGTACGTTTTAACAGAAAAACATAGTGTTAAAATAATTAACTAGAATTTTAGTTGATAAATTTTAATATTTTTATAATTAATTGTATTTGTATATTGTAATGATTTTAATTGTTGATTTTTAATTTTATATCTCAGATTATTTATTGAAATTCCATTAACTTATTTGCATTGTAGTTTTTTTTTAAATTATGTGATACTATTTTTTTTTCTTGAAGTTAAATTTCTTTTTCTTTTTCTTTCTCTTTCCCTCTATTTGGTATCACCGAAACATCCATGAAATAGGAACAAAATGATCGAGAAATAAAAGAGGTCATTCCTTTGGTACATAAGAAATGTGTTTTGACTCTATCCATCGAACAACAAACACAATTTTTTTTATTTGCTAGATCAATAATAAATTTGAATATCAATCCATAACGTAACATGATTTCTTTGATTTTATCATTTACATTAATGAAAGTCTAAAACCTGTTGTCAAGTATAGCATGACTTGGGTGTAGGTCTATCGCGACATTAACATCCATTAATCAAATCACATATGAGAATAGCCCGTCAACTATCCTTACAATATCACGCACCTTTCTAATAATTAGTTAAGAATTTTATTTCTCGACGTCATACCTTACTCAATAGGTCATGACATTAGTAGTATGGCTTGACCTAACCCCATACTATACCAATTAATGACTTAAAAAAGACTCAGCTTTCTACTTTAAGAGGTAACAATCTTAAGAAGGTTTTTTCAATAATTTGTTTCTTAGAGTACTACAACACATATCTACACAATGATATATTTTAACTTTTAAAACAATATCTTTCTTCTAATATTAAGCTCACAACATAGTTTAACAACAAATCATACCAATGAAACTCAACAACAAGGCTATACAACACTAGAACCATCTCTAATTCAACTTCTTACAATATGATTCATCAATCATACAACACGTGACCACACAAATTTATATTAAAAAAAGTTAAAAAATCACATAGAAGGACTTCTCGTAAAGCGAGGGTACCCTTGTTAGGCGATTCGAGCTTTCTAAAGCTCTTTGTTAGGTGATATCACTCTCGCTCAATGAGGGAAACATTTTACCACTTTCCTCGCAAAACGAGCTTTTAGTTCGTATGACATCTAAACTCTTCAGAGCTTGTCATTGGGAGTCGAAAAGCTTGTTGAGTGCTCCACTTGCTTTGTGGATATGCTCATTGGGCAGGCATATCAAACTGAACGACTAAGACCTCTTATGGGTCCTTACACTGAGCACAACATGTCTTATTGTGTGAGCTTAGCCACAAAACCGTTCTCTCATTGGGCGACACATTTGTTGTTGAGCGAGAAAATCATTATGTGTAGATATTCATATGTTTATGCATGAGCGTTAGGCGCCATAAATTTGTGCTGGGTGAGAACAAAATTCTTCACCCTCAAAGCTATACTTCTCTCTACCAATTAATCCATCAAATTACTCAAACTCTACATGCAATCTATAACTTTATCTCAAACAACTCAAAATTCATGGAATTCACAAATGTAAAAACAATAAAACCTTGGATCATCAATTCTACTTCAAATATTCAAAACAAAATAAAAATCTACCACATCAAGTTCTTTCACTTCTCAACTCAACATTTTAAGCCATAAATGGACGAATCCAAGCAGCAGTCAACACATGTTATACAACAAGGATCAATATACAAGCCTTTCTTACCTAAAATCTTTAAGAAAATAGAGAAAAAGAAGGATGAACGATGAAGAACACAAACATTTGAGCTCTCACTATATGACAACTCTAAACCTCTGATTCTCAACTCTCTAAGCTTCGAATCCTAACCTAATTATTACAATCCAAGCTTCAGGAAAGAATTAGAGCACTCCTATGAAGTTGGAAGGAAGAAGATATTCTATCACTCTATGATCTATCTATTTAAAAACCTTTTTTTTTAAAAAAAATATTGAAGAAATAAACTTACGAAGTTTATGTCTTCATAAAATCTTATTTATTATCTCTTAAATTTGGTAAATTTTGACTCAACACAAAATAACTCTAAAAAAATCAAATTCATATATCTTTTTAAATTTTTATAATTTTAAAACATTAAAACAACACATAATCAATTATTAATTTAAATAATATAATAAAATAAATAATTCATAACAGAGTAATATAAAGTAAGCTTGAATTTCTTTGACTTACATAATTCACTAATTATGAACATTTGTCATTAATAAATGTTAAAAATAATATCACGAGGAACGTAATAAAAAAAAGAATAGAAAGAAACTCAATATTTTTTTTAATATTTTAAAAAATAAATAAAATAAAAGAGAAAGAGAGAGAATAAAAAAAATTAAAGTAATTAATGTATAAAGTTGAAACTAAATTAGTGGAATAGTTTACAAAATTAATTATGGAAAATATGTAAATAAATGCAGAGACTAAATTAAAATATTGACTTTATTAATATTTATAGTTATTATAGAAGATTATTCTAGTTTGCTTCGAATAATATTCGTCTAGATATCCTGTTTTTTTTCAGCTTTTAAGTTTTGAGTCCACCAGTGGTCAAGTCGTTCTCAAGTTAAAGTCAAGGGAACCCACTTGCTGACATACGTTCTCCACTCCAGCTCAAATTAGTGCATTTGGGGAATTAACAAATAACAACTTTAACATCTGCACAAGTACCTCAGCATAATCCATCGGATATTCTGCAAACTATATCTCTATTAAGTATTAATCATTGTTACCGTAATTTTTTTAATAACAAATTAACTATGGCTATACTCAATAGCTTTTTGGGTCAAGAATGCCCTTATTTTTGTATAAAAAAAAATAATTCTTTTATCAGTTATTATCATGAAAAAAAAAGGTGGACAACATATTGATCGAAACTTTTAAATATCTTTTTTAATTAACGAGTAAAATATTATACTCATTTATTTAACACTGTATTACTCATATGAAATATTTATTAACTTGTCGATAATTTTCTTAAAAAATTTAATTGACTATTTTATTAAAATTTCACTTAAAACTTTACTTATTATTATTACACTTTTTTTTACACTACTAGAATTTCTTTTATTACATGCGACTTTTCCTGCAAATTTTTATGAAAAATTCACAAGAAACGTTGTTCTTACAAATTTTTCTGCAAAATTTTATTTGTAGGTAATATCTTCGTGGATAATATATTTTTGCGAATTTTAAAATTTATAGGAAAGTTTCCTGCGAATTTTTTCGTAAGAAATTCTGCAGGAATATTTTTTACGATAAAAGTTAAAGAAATTACTATAAATTCTATCAATAATTCTTCAACTTTTAAATGCTCACAATGAACTCATCCGAAACATTTGTTTACATGCCTCCAACATGTGTTACATAATCTTTAAATTTCTAAGATTGTAAATTATAAGCCTAACACTTAACCATACAAATCAATTTGTAAGGTAAGTGTTGTCTCAACTTATATACTCTTTAATTGTTTTATTTTCAATCAATGTGGGACTTGAGGTTTTTTTAAAATATTAAATTTATAAATTTAAATATTTTTATTTTATTTTTCCTGCGGATTAAAATTTGCAGGAAAATCCGCAAGAAAAGTTACCTGTAAAATTTTTCTACCATTTAGTAAATATTACTTGCGAATTTATTTTTGCAAGAAAATCTACAAAAAGCAAAATAAAATTCTTACAATATTTTATGCAAATTTTTACCATGAATTTTTTTTTATGATCATTAAAATTGTAGCAAAATTTGTAAGAAATATTTGTAAATTATTTTTCACAAATAAATTCGCAAAAAATCTTTGAGAATATTTTTTTGCAGGAAAATTCGCAGAAAAATGACAATTTTCTAGTAGTGTTAAATCACTTGAATATATTATTTATCCGTGAGATTAATATGATATTTACCAAATAAAAGTATTAACAAATAACTTAAATTATTATTTTTCCGATATTACAATTGAACTAACAAAGAAATCCTCTACAATTTTAGAAATATTGCATGACATAGCATTCATTCTTTTAATTTTAATATTTAATAATTTTAATAAATAAACATTATTAACAATGTACACTAATTGGGTGGCTGGATCAGTGGCCTAACTTATCTCAATGGGCATTGAGTCATTGTCCTATTATTCTAAAAACGGAAGGCTTAGATTGGGGGCCTAAACCTTTTAAAGTTCTAAATTGTTGGCGCAATGAAGTGGGGTTTGTAGACTTTGTAAAAAATGAATGGAGGGGGCTAAAGGTTGAAGGTTGGGCAGGTTTTATTTTAAAAGAAAAGCTGAGAGGTATGAAAAGCAAGCTTAAAGTGTGGAATAAAGAGGTATTTGGCGATTTGAATAAAAAGATAAATGAAGCAAGAATGCAAGTGACGAGATTAGATTGCAAAGGTGAAGATTCAGACTTAACAATGGAAGAAGTACTTCAAAGGAAGGAACTGTTGGCTACGTGGCATCATTATGCGCATCAAAAGGAAAGTTTATTGCTTCAAAAGTCTAGAACTCAGTGGCTGCAAGAAGGGGATGCTAACACCAGATTTTTCCATGCGTGTATCAACCAACGAATGAAGATCA